GTTGGTCTTCCATGGATATCAGGGGATCCACACAATTGGATACAAGGGTCCTCCACAGATCCTTCCTATGGATAACCCCATTTCTATTCCTGGTTTCTGTTGAGATGGTTGATTGGATCCATGAATCACACATCCAACCTCTTCACCAAAAGGTTGTCCAGCTACACTTATGGCCTTATCTCCAGAGCATGCTATCTGTGTAGGCTGAGGATTTTCCTAATCATCAAGTACTGATTCCTTTTTGCTTAACAGTTCCTTCCTCAATTTATCTCTTCCTCTCACATTTTACTATAATCAGCAAGGAAAAAACATCAAGCCCCACTTTACACATTTTGCTTGGAAATATCCTCAGTTAATTACCCAAGGTCATCACAAGTTCTGTTTTCTGTCCAACAGCAGAATATGATTCAGCAAAGTTTCTGCTACTTTCTAACATCTATCACCTTTCTCCAGTTTCCAGTAATGTTTTCTTCATTTCTGCCTAAGACCTCTTTTTTGGCCACGCCGCATGGCTTGTGGGATCTTAGTTCCCAGACCAGGGGTTGAACCTGGGCCCCAGCTGTGAAAGTGCTGAGTTCTAACTACTAGATTGCCAGGGAATTCCCCCCACCAGAAGTTTTTTTTTTTTTTTTTTAATTTTTATTGGAGTATAGTTGCTTCACAATGTTGTAATAGCTTCTACTGCACAGCAAAATGAATCAGCCATACATACACATATATCCCCTCCCTTTTGGACTTCCCTCCCATTTAGGTCACCACAGTGCATTAAGCAGAGTTCCCTGTGCTATACAGTATGTTCTCATTAGTTCTCTATTTTATACATAGTATCAGTAGTGTATATGTGTCAGTCCCAATCTCCCAGTTCCTCCCACCCCCCCTTCCCCCTTGGTATCCATACATTTGTTCTCTACATCTGTGTCTCTAGTTCTGCTTTGCAAATAAGGTCATCTATACCATTTTTCTAGATTCCACATATATGCAGTAATATACGATATTTGTTTTTCTCTTTCTGACTTCACTCTGTATAGAAGTATTTTTTTAATGCTCATTATTTCTAGCAAAATTCTGTTCATGACAATATATGTATTCTCTAAGATGACAGAGGATTCCTCTACTGTCCTTTTCACTTCCTTCTGAGACCCTGCCAAAGTCACCTTTAATGTCCGTATTTCTACCAACAATCTCTTCAAGGCAACCTAGACTTTTTGTATCATGAGCCTCAAAACTCTTCTAACTTCTAGCCATTACCCAATTCTAAAGCCACATCTACATTTTTAGGTATTTGTTAAAGCAGCACCCCATTTCTGGTACCACAGACAGAGTGGTTTAATACAACAAAAATTGATTCTGTCACAGTCTGGAGGTTAGAAATCCAAAATCAAAGGTGCTGGCAAGGGCCATGCTCCTCTGAAGGCTCTGGGGAAGGACTGGTTCCATGCCTGTCTCCTAACTTCAGGTGGTTGCTGCCGTCCTTGGCGTTCTTTCCCTTATGGACGCATCACTTCAGTCTCTGCCTCCACATTCACATAGCATCCTCCTCTCTCTGAGAGTCCCCTCTGTGTCTGAATTCATCTCTTCGTATATGGATACCAGTCATTGGATTAGGGCCCACCTTAAACCAGTATGACTTCATCTTTACTTGATTACATCTGCAAAGACCCTATTTTCAAATAAAGTCACATTCTCAGGTAACAGAGGTTAGGAGTTGAACATATCTTTTAAGGGGGGGAGGACACAATTCAACACAACAGTGTGGTAAGTACAAACTAAGAGTTGTTTAAACCACTGTGACTTGGTTTTGAAGTTGAAGACTTCAAATTGTTGCCAATGACCTCATTTGATTGAAGACAAAAGAAATGATTTGATCTGAATTCAACACTAAAGGTTTTGGAGAATTCTAGTGTTTCTGATACAAGCCTACCCATCTCTGCAAAGTGAACCTAGGGAACTCTGATTATATTGGCCATTATTTCCCCTTCTGAATCTGAGTTTTCAGCACTTGTTCTGTTTTTGAAAAGTCAAAGTCAATTGGACACGCACATTAACATTTCAAAGGTGTTGTATTGTTGTAATTCAGGTGTCTTATTCAAAACAAACAGCAGCAGCCTACTCATTAATACATACTTGATCAAAACGAAAGTTAATTTTTTTAAATTTGCCTTCACAATTTGGATTTATGTCCCTTTTTTACCTAAACCTAGAGATTGAGTTTTAAGTTGAGGTTCATTCTTTGTGAAGATTGCTTATATAGTCTAAGTATCGAAGGAAATTAATTTCCAATGCAATGTAATACATGGTAAGCAAAAGTTCTCATGTAGGTCTTCATGTTCAACTTTCTGAGGAAGAGGTCCATAGTTTTCATCATATTCTCAAAGGAATTATATTATCTCAAAGATTAAGAACCACTACTCTACAAACCATGCCTAAATCAGACATATGTTAGTTTGGCCTAGTTTCTCCCAAGAGGAAATGGAATAGGAAATAGAAATCAGGTAGAATATTGGGGGTCGGGGGTAACATATCAGTTTCATTCTTGAGGCTCTGATATCATTTTCATGCCTGTATTACCACCCCGATCTCTCTGGAAACCTCTGAATATCTTTTACCTCACTGAGATGAGCCTCTTCAGTGTCAGCTGGAGTGGACCACAGTTGGGTCTAGGTTTGTTCTGGCCAATCCATCGAACTGTTGAACTCCAAGCTGGTTTCTCAGACTCACTCACAGAATGTAACATCTCTGGTAGGACTCCACAAAGCAACAAATCTAGCATAATCTGAAAGAACAGTTTGGTTTTCTTGGTTAAACACCCAGAAAATTTATGTTCACTTCATCACTTCTGGGTAAAAGATTAACAAAACCCTTACATTTGTACGTGAGAATTAACCTTTGGTTGACTTTCCCATTCTCTTTTACTGGAAACCTATTACAAGTATGTCAGCTGTGGCATTCTCATACACTGTTGGTGGGAATGCACAATGATTCAGCCACTCTGAAAAGCAGTGTAGCAGTTTCTTAAAATGTTAAACATACACTTAACCAGGAAAGAGAAAAAAGCATATGTCCATATAAAGACTTGTACACAAATGTTCATAACACCTTTATTCGTAATAGTGAAAAAACTATAAATAACCCAAATGCCCATCAGCTGGTGAATGGATAAACAAATTGTGGTGTGTACATCCAATGGAATATTATTCAGCAACAAAAAGGAGGAGTGGACTATTGATACACACAGCAAGATAGACAAATCACAAAATAATGCTTAGAAAGAAGTCTGAGTGCAAAACAGAGTGCATTCTGTTTGATTCCATTTAAATAACTCTCTAGAAAATGCTAATTAATCTATAGTAACAGAAAGCAGAACAGTGGTTGGGGGCTGTGGTAGGAAAGGGAGGGATTATCAAGGGAAGGAGGAAACTTTTGGGGATGTGGTCACAATTTTCATTGTGGTGATGGTTTCACAGTTGTATACATATGACAAAATTTACCAAATTGTATACTTTAAATATTTGCTGATTATTGTATGCCTGTTATACATCAGTAAAGCTATTTTTTAAAAAGCATCTGTACTCCCTACTTGGGAGGGCTGGACACAAACGAGCTCCTTACATTTTATCAGGGTCTCATTCACACATCCCTAAGATTTCATAAATCAGAACAGGGTCTTAGGCTGGAACAGAAAACCCTCTTCCTCTACCTCAATCATTACTTCAGCCAGTCACCATTTTCTCAAACCTATACCTTTTCCTCCGACATCTTAACCCAAGTCACATGTCTCACCGGTCTCAATACTTCTATTATTTCTTATTTCTATATCTTCCCCCCCTGCCCCCCGCCCTTATTTCCCAAGATATTTCCAAGGAAACAGCAATATCCTTTCCTACCCTGATGCCCTCCCCCACCCCCTTTCAGGTCCTTCTCACCCTGATCCTTTAGACACAATGAGGATTGTATTGGCAAGCAAACATTTTAGGAGACCCCATGGCCTTTCTTGATAGCAAAGTAGGTGAAAATCCAGCTTCGCAGCAATTTAGGGATTAATTCCTGAGCATTGTTTATTTTTAAGGCAGTGGTTCTCAGAGTGTGGTCCCAGGACCAGCAGCATCAGGATCACCTGAGAACCTGGGCTCTCATGACAGACTTACTGATTCTAAACCGGCGTGGGGCCCAGAAATCAGTATTTTATTAGAGGCATGCCACTGTGCTGGGGGGAAAACCAGAGAGGACAGGAAGAAAGAATGGAAGCACACCAGCGAATCTGATTGACAGGTTTGGGGTTGGGTGGGTGGGGGAAGGGATTAAAAAAAAAAGAGAGATAATTAAGGAAGAACTCATTTTGTAGTCAGAAAACCTACCCTGCCCCCAGGGAGCTTTCTAGAAAGATGTTTTCTGACATTCACGTCAAGAATTGGCAGATAGGGGGACTTCCCTGGTGGCGCGGTGGTTAAGAATCCGCCTGCCAATGCAGGGAACACAGGTTCGATCCGTGGTCTGGGAAGATCCCACATGCCGCGGAGCAACTAAGCTCGTGCACCACAACTACTGAGCCTGTGCTCTAGAGCCCGCGAGCCACAACTACTGAAGCCTTCATGCCTAGAGCCCGTGCTCCGCAACAAGAGAAGCCACCGCGATGAGAAGCCTGCGCACCGCAAGGAAGAGTAGCCCCCGCTCGCCCGCGACAAAGCCCGCTCACAGTAACGAAGACCCAACGCAGCCAAAATAATTCATTTTTAAAAATCCGAAGTGATTAAGTTATGTGTCTGCATGTATATATACACACACACACACGTATTTTAAAAAAAAAAAAAAAGGAATTGGAAGATAGTGCCAGCCAGGCCCCTCGCTACGGCTCCGCTAGGGCCAGATCCGCAGCTGTTCAGGGTTAAATCTCGGCAACTCCCGGCCCCCAGCTCACCTCGCCGCCCCCCGCCCCGCGCGTGCGCACGTGCGAAGCTACGCGCCATAGAGCTGAGCAATCCTCCCAGATTCCTAGAGCGGTCGGCGGTGATGGCCGGTTTACAGGGTGTGAGGCTTGACGGTGACTTAGAGAATACATCGAGGTATGGGTGATGTCGGCTCACGGAAGGCGGAGGAACTCGGGTGATCTGCCCTCCCCAGCGGCCTTGCAGCGCCACCGGGGAACCGTATGCTGTTTCTTGAGTCCGTGGGGAGTCGAGGCTGCCGACGTGGCCCCCAGGCGCGGCTCCTGGGCACTGCGAGCTGGTCGGTTCTCGGCCTGGTGTGCTTTTGGTACGCGGTCAGCCCTTGACTAGCGTTGCGTTCAGCTGAATGAACACCAGAAACTTTGGGGGCGGGTGGAATCCAGAGCTTGGATGCATTCACACGAATCAGCGGACGAATGCGTGAGTGTGATAAGAACGGAAGGAGGGAGAGACAGATCATGATGATGGATCAGTAGTGTCATTTCGGTGTAGAAGGGGCAGCGAATAACATAGAGCTAGCTAATCGCTAGGGCAAAATTCTGAAATTCCCTCCCCTGCCTTATCTTTACAGTTATATCCTGATTTTGGTAGCATTAACCCCCTGATTATCTTTGAAGATCTCTAGGTTTGGAATGGAGAATGTATGTCCAAGAGGGGTGATGCCTGACTCCTGAATGATAGGGAAAGAAGCGTAGTAAATTTGAAAGAAAAGCGCTTGAAAGTTAAATGAGATTTTGTTTTCTCTTTAACTTCTTTTATATCTAGAGGATGCTCCTGGTGGTCTAGTCTCAGAACTTATATCTCCAGTCTCCGCAATGATTCCCTTCCAAGTCCAGTGGTGCCCAGTTGCCTCCAGGTCTCAGACTCCTACGTGGACAAGAAAAGCTTAGTGAGGAAATGGTAAATCTCCAGTTGCTCCCTGACGTGTCAAGTGTCCAGTGGCAGTCTATGGAGATCCAATTCAATTATGAAGCTCAAGAACACTACCTTCTGTCAGGTGAGAAGCAGTGTGTATCTTTCTTAGTGGTTTGGGTGGGTTGGGGGGTGGGCGCCGTGTTACCTTGCTATGTTAGTGTCTTCAAGTGCTATTGGTATGCCTCATTGCCTACCCCTCACTGTATTATGCAGTACCATTTCTTTTGTGCTCCAAGCCCATGGCTTTATTGTACATTCTGTCAATCAAATTCTCTTGGTTTTCCTTCCTCTCCTTAAGTACCCAGTGTCATCCATTTTTCCCATTATAATCACCTTATTACCAATCTGTCAGTGTTTGGTATTTGCCCTTTAAAATCTTTTCAAGTCATCTTTCTCATGTACTGTTGGGGCATAGTTAAAAGTTTTGGAGTCTGACACCTGGATTCAAATACTAGCTTTGTCATTTACTAGCTTCAGTAAGTTACTTACATTTTTTAAAAATAATCCTGTTTCCTCACTTTATAAGTGTATAATAACTCATACCTTGGAAGTTATTTTGAGGGTTGTGTCTATCTATTACTCCATAATAAAGGACCCCAAAACTTAGTGACCTAAAACACTAAGACATTTTTCAACCATGTTATTTTCTTATGGTTCTGTAGGTCATTGGCTTGGGCTGGGTTCAGCTGGGCAGTTTTCTTCTGGAATCACTCATGCTCAACTAGGGCCAGGGTCTATGTTGGTATCAATCATAACATGTCCAGCTGTTGGTGCTGGCTATAGCTTGGGTCATGTATCTCCGGCAGGCTAGCCTAGACTTCTTCACGGGGCAGCTAGTCTTTAAAAAGAGAGAGGGATGCTAAGCACTTTTCTAACCTGTGTTTGCGTTACATTTGTTATTATCTCATTGACCAAAGCAAGTCACATAACCAATTCCAGAGTCATTGTGGGAGAAAACCACACAAGGATATAGATATTAGGAGATAGGATCATTGGGGTCCATTACTATTATAACAGATACCACAAGCACTAGATAAGATTCCATATATACGGCTCTGAGCAGATACCTGGCTGGTAGTAAATTCTTTACGAATGGTAGTCACTGTTATTTTTAGTAAGATAATCTTGGTGCTGACTTTGTTCAGATGTTCTGCAGGCTCTCATTTCCACATCATATTTTGCTGCTTTTTGATTTTGGTCTTTCCATTACTGCTGTTTTGCCTATGAAATTAACCTGTTGTCCTTTTCTTTTACTCTAAATCTTTTGCCTGTCTTTAGTTTTGGAGTATCTTTTTTTTTTTCGTACGCGGGCCTCTCACTGTTGTGACCTCTCCCGTTGCGGAGCACAGGCTCCGGACGTGCAGGCTCAGCGGCCATGGCTCACGGGCCCAGCCGCTCCACAACATGTGGGATCCTCCCGGACCAGGGTACGAACCCGCGTCCCCCGCATCGTCAAGTGGACTCTCAACCACTGCACCACCAGGGAAGCGCTGGAGTATCTTTTATTTTATTTTATTTAGTTTCTCTCTCCTGTATTTAGAATTTGTTTTTCCTTAAGAGTCTATTCTAAGGCATCTAGCTGTCTTCTTTCCTGAGAATCACTGCCTCCTCCTTGTTGTTTTACTTAAATTGACATACATACTATATGTGTTTGTGTCTCTTAGAATGTGTATAAAATACTTTTTTTATGATAAAGAAATATAATTATATTAAAGTGCATTTATAAAATATAGAAAGGCACAAAATAGAAATTTTGATAACCTACAACTCCACCATTTAGAGGTAGTCACTGGATACATTAATACATTAATGTATCCTTCAAATCATTTAATTAACTGTTCAACAAATATTTATTGTTGATAAATGTTTATTAGTTCATAAGATCATAGCTTATTAATGATTATTAACCATTAATAATAATATTATTAGTTACTGAGGGTTTACTTTGTATCAGCCACTGTTCTAAGTTCTGGGGATGTAGCAGTGAACTAATCAGAGAAGCCTTTGCCCTCAAGGACTTTACATTCTAGTAGGGGAAATAGGAAATATATAAGTATACAGTGTAGTGTCAGATAGTGATAATGGTTATATAAGATGTATCAGTCAGGATTCTGGCAGGAAACAGATGGCTCATTCAAATTGGGTAATTCAAAGTTTCATAAAGAGGATGGGAAGGATTACAGAAATCAACAAGGGATGGAGAACAGCATACGCAAAGCCTAAGCTGATAGTCGTAACTATCCTCTCCCATCACCCACTCCATATTGCCCTTACCTTCTGCCAGAATCTCAGTGGCACAGAGTTCTTTATCTAGTCAAATAAAATAAACCTTTTCTAGATGACCTGAGTCCTTGGTGATCCTGTCTCTTTCAGGTTACTTCCGTGAACCATTGACTGGGCCTATTAGACATGAGAGAACTACGAGGCACCCCCACTGAGTCCTCTGAGTTCCAGTAGCAGCAACCATTTCCCCACTGGTGATTGGTATCAGTCATTCTGGCCGGTAGAGGGACCCCATCTCTGCGGGCTGGTTTGGCAGTTTGAGGAGCCCAAAATGCTGAAGCAGGAAGCAGTCTCAACTTCAAATTTAACAAAATTATGACTTTGTCCCATGGTAGAAGTATTTTTCCTTTGAGAATCAGAACCCTGAACCCACCAAGCCCAAGATCATAGGGATAGGAAGCAAAAATAATATAAGTGGATTATGAGGTATATAGTAAGAAGAGACATTATTATTTTCTCTACCACCCTTCGTTCCTATACCCATGTATTATGGCCATGGGGGAGACAACACTGTTTATCACCCTTTAGTTTAATGCGTATATTGCATCCTGTATGACAGCACCCCAAACTTATCAAGGTGTTGTTGTCTAGCTTGTACTGTAACTGAGCCTACATTTAATCATTCCACCATTATCACAATCCACTTACTTCTGGATGATGGGACATGTGGTAAGACCCATGAATTATATGTGTATTAGATCATTGCTTAACTTCCTTCCCTGTAAAATGACTCCTTTGGAGGTAATATTATAGAGAGTACCATGATAATATATACGGCATTCTCTTAAGTCAATGCAAATTTGTATCTAGACTATGTATTTAGTCCTTTGAAGTTGCTGCCCTTTCCATAATAAAAGGGGTCAGATGTAATAAATCTGTCCCCAAGTGGCTAGCTGTTTCCTCTCTAGGGAATGGTACCTTATTAGGGCCTTAGCAGTTGGCTACTTGGGCACATAGCAATGATTATAGGCATATCAATCTTGATAAGTGGAGGTCCGTATTGTTGAGCCCATATATAGCCTCCATCCCTGCTGCCATGACCTCTTTGTACATGAGTCCATTGGGCAAACATTGGTAAAAAGGCTGATTAACATTCATAATATAGATCACCAAGTCCATCCTTCTGATTGAGAGGCTTCTCCACAGTGGATGCCCTTTGGTGAGGATTCACATGGGCCACAAACATAGTCATTCTTTGGTTTATCCTCATACTTTTCCTCCAGAATTCTTATTTCTTGTCTTCCAATCTTGTTCTTTCCAGGTACCTAACTAATCAAATAACCCATTAGTCACTATCCATGGATCAGTATATACATGTGTCTTAGACTATATTGCCTTCCATGGAAAGTAGACCACCAGGTGTATACCTGAAATTCTGCCCACTGGAAGGATTTGCCTTTACCAGCATGTTTAAGGCCACCCCTGAGTAGGGGTGTAAGTGAAAGGTACTCACTTTCAGGTAGTGCCCACACACTGGGCAGGCCCATCTACAAACCAGTTCTGTACATTTTCCTCCTCTGTTAACTGGTAATAGGGAATTCCCATAGGGCCATGAATATAGGTTGAGGGGGAGAGGTAGTGGAGCAGTAGGAACAAGTACCATGGAAATCTGAGTCACTAGCACATGGAATATACTTGTCTTCCAGATATGCTTTTATAATGGAATACTGGTTTGTATGTTCAGTTTTATGAATTGATGGGTCAAATAACAACTAATACATAGTGTCAGTTTGCAATAGTTATTTGGTGCCCTGTGGTCAAGCATTAAGTTTCTGTTAGTGCCCAAAAGCAAGCCAGGATCTGCTTTTCACTTAGAAAATTGTTGGCAGAAGACAGTATGGCCTTACTCCAGTGTGGTTCTCTTATAGAGGCTTGCAAGAGGCTTCATACAGCAACCGTGACTGCTGCAGACACTTCCAAAACCATTGGTTATCCTGGTTAATAAGGGTCATGTGACAGGACAGCTTGCATTGCAACATGGTCCTACTGCAGAACGTTTTTTTACTCTAAGCCTCACTCAAAAGTAGCAACTGTGCAAGTTACTCAAATTGGTCATTTCAGCACATTTACTATGGTATCTGTTGCCTCAAAAATGCAGGGCCCACCAACATTGTGCCTTTCTGAGGTGGTAACAGTTGGTTAGAGAGATAACCAAAGTGAAAGCATAAGCCATGTAACCATCTGAGAGAAGAGTCTTCCAGGTGGAGGGAATAGCAAAAGTCAGAGGCCCATAGATATAGCAGGAACAGAGTAATAAGCCTGGGGTAGACATGTGATAGGGGTGGTTTAGAATGAAATGAGGGCAGAGAGAAAGAAAGGGACCAGATCATATGGAACCTTCTAAGTCACGGTAAGGACTTAGAATTTATTCCCAGTGAAATGGGAAACCATTGGAACTCTTTACACAGGATAACATGTAAAGATCACTCTGACTGTTGTATGGAGAGCAGGAGAAAGGTAAGTTAGCAGGAAGAAAGCAAATGATTTAAGAGAGTAGTCAACTATGTCAAACAAATAAGAATAAGATTGAAAATTGACCACTGGATTTGTCAAGATAAAGCATATTAGGGACTTTAATAAGTGCAGTTTTGATGGAGTTACGGAGATAAAAGCCTGATTGCATTGGGTTAAAAAGAGAATAGACTTGATGTTGGTTAGAATATAGAGCAATGTGAACTATATACACCTGATGGAAGTGTGAATTGGCTTAACCACTTTGGAAAAGTCTAGTTGAAGACCTAACAGTTCTGATCCTAAATTTATATAACGTAGAGAAACATTTGGATATGTGTATGAAGATAGACGTACCAGCATATTCATATCAGCATTGTTTGAAATAGCAAAATGTTCTTATCCATTGAAGAATGGATAAATCACTTGTGGTGTATGTCACACTATAATAGTGAACATGAATGGACTACAGCTACACACATGACTGTGGATGAATCTTCCAAACATAATGTTGAGTAAAAACACAAGTCACAGAATACGTGTGGTATGATTCCATAAATGTATAAAGTTAAAAAACATGCTGTATTTGCCTGCTAGGGCTATAAGAAAACCACAGACTAGGTGGCTTAAACAACACAAATTTGTTTTCTCAGTTCTGTGCATTAATTTTAGTCATCTATGCTTTGCTTTCTTCTAGAAGTATTATAGTTTTAGCTTTTATATTTAGGTTTATATTACATTTCTAGTTAATTTTTGTGTATAGCATAAGGAAAGAGTCAGAGTTAATTTTTGTTATCATGATATCCAGTTGTAACACTTTTTTTGAAAAGAGACTACCCTTTCACCCTTGAATTATATGGGCAACTTTGTTGAAGGTCAGTTGTACATATATGTTTGGATCTATTTATAGACTCTGTTCTGTTCCATTAATGGATATGTCTATCCTATGCCAGTACCTTGCTGCCTTGATTACTGTAGCTTTGTAGTAAAGCTTGAAATCAGGGAGTATAAGCTCTCTAATTTTGTTCTTCTTTTTCAAAATTGTTTAGACCCTTCTCTGCCTTTCTACACAAAGTTTAGAATCGGTTTGTCAGTTTCTATGAAGAGCCCTGCTGAGATTTTGATTGGGGTTGCATTGAATCCATAGATCAGTTTGGGGAGAATTTCATCACTTTAACAATATTAAATCTGCCTATACGTAAATGATGGCATATATTTCTATTTATTAGATCTTTAATTTCTCTCAGCAACATTTTGTAGTTTTCATTATGCAGATACTGCACATATTTCATTGAATTTGTTTCTAATTATTTCATTTTTTTGGTGCAATTGAAAAAAATTGTTTTTAATTTTAGGTTCTAATTGTTCATTGCTAGCATACAGAAATACAATCAGGTTTTGTGTATTGCACTAATAAAACCATTTACAAGTTCTAATAACTTTTTAAAGACACTTTAGTATTTTCTGTATACGTGACTGCATAGTCTATAAGACAGTTTGACTTCTTGTATGCCTCATTTATTTTTCATGTCATATTGCATTTACTATGAATATTCAGTAAAAGTTGTACAATATTGAATAAAAGTAGTTAAGAGAGGGCATCCTTATTTTCCTCCCTTGTTCCTAGGACAAAAGCATTTAATGTTTAACCATTAAGTATGATGTTAGCTGTTGGTCTTTCTTTGCTTTTTATTGAAGTAGTTAATTTACATGTAACATAGTTGATATTTGGATTTAAATGTACCATCTTATTTTTTGTTATTTTCCCATATTTTGTTTCTTTTTTGTTTTTCTTTTTTCTCCCTTTGTGCCTAATTTAATTATGTTATCAAGTTTTTTATTTTTCTGTTTTTTTCTCTATTAGCTTATTGTTTATACATCCTTTTATTGTTATTTAATTGTCACCTAATAGCAGCCTTTCTCAAATGTGATTCTGTGAGAGAATTAAGCCAAAATGCTCTGAGGCATCCACTGTAAGTTACATATTAATGTTTCTTCTGTACATCTATTGATTTACTTGCTATCTACCATCTTTGGGAGAATTAAGAAAATAGGCAAATTATTTTCTTTTTATTTTTTTGTGGAACCCTAGTTGAAAAAGGCTGCCTTAGAAGTTACAACGTACACATTTGATTTATTACAGTTTATCTTAATTTATTATTTCTAGGATAACCCAAAGACCTTGTAATATTATAGTTCTATTTACCTCCCTCCTCTTGTGCTATTTTTGCCATATATTTTAACTCTACATATATATTGTAAAATCCATGAGACTTTCATATTGCTTATATCATTCAGTACATACACATTTAGATTTACCGCAATACTTTACTTTTTCCAGTACCCTTTGCCTTTGGCAAAGAGGATAAGCCTCCACTTGGAGGCTTGGGATTTTGGACTTTAGCCCTTGAAATTAATCTTTGTCATGTTTTCAGCTCTCTAGACCATTTGCAGTCTGAGAATGGTGTGCCTTTTATAGTAAACACCACTTAATAATGGACTGATAGTCTCAAGAATTTCAATGGAGCTCCCATGTTCTCTACCATTACAGGCCTCTGGTATTGTTGAGCAGAGGACTAATCTCCTCAAAAATCAACTCAAAAGAGATTTCTGATCCTACCTCCCTAACCTTTTTCTGGTCCACATACCTTAGTAAGGAAGTTTGGTCACTGAATATGGCTGTTCCCAAAAGGATCATGTTTTCTAGGCCACTTCTTTCTAATAATCAGGGCAAAAGAGGTGGAGGACTATGTAGACCTCTTTTTGAAAATTCAGGCTTCTTTTCTAACCATTCCTGAGCTTGATGCTTCTTTCTTTCCACTAATGACAACATGTGACCAGCCTGGTTGGTATACACTCACAGTGACAGCCTGGCTGCCACTGCCTCCTCCTCCTCTCCCTCCCTTTCACCTTCTCCCCCACTCCTTCACCCAAGTATTCATTCATACTGCCTACTTTATATATGTCAGTAAGTTGTTTATGTATTAGCTCTAATATAGTCAAACTTTCCTAATCACTGTAATTAGGTTTCAGTATTCCCAGATCTCCTGTGACAGACATATACAGAACATATCTGATAAGCCACTTCAATAAACGATTATCCATTACTTGTTGATTCTTCTTAGTTTCGCTCTTAGAAGATAATTTTCAGTATTTTCATAGGAAAATACTAATATATTTCACCTGAAACTTTCTTACAGTATGGAGAACATATTCCATTTATATTTTATTGTTCTAGATGGTGAGACTAAGGCCAAGGTTGGAGAGCTGGCTTCCGAGGAGGAAATTACAGCAAAAATTGAACCATTGACTGAAGAGTCTGGTAACCCCAGAGATGATGTTCTCCAGGATTCTGAATGCAGGGAATTCTGTGGATTTGGGGATAAATTCAATGAAAAGGATCAGAACCTCTTCAAAAGAAGACAATATAACTGTGATGAATGTGGGCAAAACTTTGCTTGTAGTACAGGCCTTATTAGGCATCAAAGAACCCATTGGGAGAAACCCTATGAATGTGATAAGTGTGGAAAGGCCTTTAATGTGAGCTCAGCCCTGGTTCTGCATCAGAGAATTCATACTGGGGAGAAACCCTATCCTTGTAATTGGTGTATTAAAAGTTTCCGTCGGAGCTCAGACCTTATTAAACATCAAAGAGTCCACACTGGTGAAAAACCTTACAAATGTGACGAATGTGGGAAAGCCTTCAGTCAGAGCTCTGATCTTATTATACATCAGAGAATACATACAGGAGAAAAACCCTATCAGTGCAGTCATTGTAGTAAAAGTTTTAGCCAGCGCTCAGACCTGGTTAAACATCAAAGAATACATACTGGAGAGAAGCCTTATACATGTAACCAGTGTAACAAACATTTTAGTCAGAGTTCTGATGTTATAAAACATCAAAGAATCCATACTGGTGAGAAACCATATAAATGTGATGTGTGTGGAAAAGCCTTCAGTCAGAGCTCAGATCTTATTCTACATCAGAGAATCCACACTGGAGAGAAACCATATCCATGTAATCAGTGTAGCAAAAGTTTCAGTCAGAACTCAGACCTTATTAAACATCGAAGGATCCACACTGGAGAGAAACCCTATAAATGTAATGAATGTGGGAAAGCTTTTAATCAGAGCTCAGTCCTTATTCTGCATCAGAGAATTCACACTGGAGAGAAACCCTATCCATGTAATCAGTGTAGCAAAACCTTCAGTAGACTTTCAGATCTTGTTAATCATCAACGAATTCACACTGGAGAGAAGCCTTACCCATGTAACCAGTGCAATAAAATGTTTAGTCGAAGGTCAGACCTTATTAAACATCATAGAATTCATACAGGTGAGAAACCCTATGAATGTGATGAGTGTGGGAAAACCTTTAGTCAAAGCTCAAACCTTATTCTGCATCAGAGAATCCACACTGGAGAGAAACCCTATCCATGTAGCGATTGTACTAAAAGTTTTAGTCGTCGTTCAGACCTTGTGAAACATCAGAGAATACACACTGGAGAGAAACCGTATGCATGTAATCAGTGCAATAAAAGTTTTAGTCAAAGCTCAGACCTCACTAAACATCAGAGAGTACACTCTGGGGAAAAACCCTATCATTGTGATTGTTGTGAGAAAGCCTTCAGTCAGAGTTCTGACCTTATTCTTCATCAGAGAATTCACACTGGAGAAAAACCATATCCATGCACACAGTGCAGCAAAAGTTTCAGTCAGAACTCCGACCTTATCAAGCACCAGAGGATCCACACTGGGGAAAAACCATATAAATGTAATGAATGTGGGAAGGCTTTCAGTCAGTGCTCAGCTCTTGTCCTACATAAGAGGATCCACACTGGGGAGAAACCATATCCATGTGATCAATGTGGCAAAAGCTTTAGTCGACGCTCTGATCTTATTAACCATCAAAGAATCCACACTAATGAAAATCCATATAAATGTGATGTGCCTGGGAAAGCCTTTAGCGCATGCACTGATCTTACTGAACACCAGGGAATCCACATTGGAGAGAAACCCCACAGGTGTGTTCAGTGCAGCAGAAATTTTAGCCAACTCTCTGATCTTATTAATCATGAGAAAGTCCATTCTGGGGAAGACACTCTAAATGTGATGAATACAGGAAAACCTTTAGTGTATACACCAACTTTATTCAGTACCAGAGACACTCTGCCAGAAAAAAGTCTTATGAACGCTATGGATGATTATGAAAAAGGTTTTAATCAATGCTCAACTCTTGTGCTACATTAAAAAAGACCACACACACTAGAGAGAAAACATATTAATTCAATTTTTATAATGAAAGTTTAACTCAGCTCAGACATTACTAAAGAAAAATTCTGAGGAGGAATCCTGTGAGTTGTTGGAAAAACCCTCAATGTGAAAAATTTTTTACTGAATGTCAGAAACAATGGAAAAAAATTCTATCTGCTGTAATGTAAGAAAAGCTCTAGTCTTTTATTCAAACACTGCACAAGAGGAAAGTTTTATCATTATAAGAAATGTCTAACCATATTAATGCAGAACCTTATCAGATATTGTAAAAACCAGTGTGGTGTTGTGTGCAATCAGAAGGAAATGTATTAGTGTTATAATCTCAAACCTTTTGTGAGCCCAGATCACCTATTGCATATCACAGAAGTTATTTTAGTAAATGTAGGGAAAATTTAAACCCTTCCCATATCTTAATTGGCATTCACTCTGATAATTCACATACCACTTATCTCCTGAAAGCTGGAGAATCCTACCTTATGCAAACATTAGTTATTAAATTCCCTCTGTGTGAACATGCTATGCTATTCTGGTATTAAACTTATTAACTGCATAACTCTAGTGCCCCATTTTCTGAAATACCCTTTTTTTTTGTGGGGGTGGCCAAGTGTTGGTCTTCCTAGTGAGCATGAGTTTTCAAGTTCCTGTGGTGTTCACAGCAAACATGAATTTATTTTGCTCTTAATAATGTAGCCCATCCATAAACTTTGGTGGTTTGAAATTACTTCTTCAACACTACCATTTAATTACAGTTTCTAAATATGTGAAACAATTTAAAAAAAAATAATTCCATATGTTAAAGTGTGAATATTTCTCTACTACTATGTTTATCCTGTCTGTCATCTATAGATTGAACAAAAATGTTAGCTAAAGTAACACCCACATGACTAATTGATATTGCATATTCTGTCTAAAAATAAAAAGACCTATTGATCTTTTTTTTAATGGCAACATTCATCAGACTTTGTTTTGTTTGTTGATTTCTGACATATATATTGATAATATGCCATGTGTACACAATGTTTTCAACTGAAAAACAAATAGTTTTTAAAAATAAGAAAAATTGTCTTTGTGGTATTAACCATTTGTTAAAATCCTGCTACTGTCATTTACTTTGACTATCCCCCATAATTATCCAATTAATATTTTAATTTAACATACATTGTTAAATTATTATGTGCAAGGCATTTTTTTAGGTTTTGTAGTATACACAAAGAATATACTGTCCCCAAAAAACATGTACTGTACAGTGATAAAGGCTGATGTATACAGAAAATATATGGCTCAATATAATCATAAAGTTAGGCAAGATGCTTATAAGAGCTCACAGGAGGTAGGGTTCAATTCTGATTGGAAAGAAAAGGAAAAGCTTTGTGGAGCTCCTGAGATTTGAGTTTTGAAGGATGGGAGTAGAGGCATAAAGGCAGAGAGGGAATAATCAACAAAGGCACAGAAGCAAGAAAATATAAGAAGTGATGTCGAGTATGGTGCTTAGTCATTAATTCAATAAATATTCAGTGTCAGGCACTGTACTGAGTGCTGCTGAAGAAAAAATGATTCCTGCCCTCATGCTTAAGTGTTTAGGAAAATAATGACTGAAGCATGTACTTAAAAGAGTAAGAATAAAGTGGAAATTAAAATGAAGGTGAAAAGACAGTTAAGAAATGTGATGCTAGGGCTTCCCTGGTGGCTCAGTGGTTAAGAATCCGCCTGCCAATGCAGGGGACATGGGTTTGAGCCCTGGTCCGGGAAGATCCCACATGCTGGGAAGCAACTAAGCCCATGTGCCACAGCTACTGAGGCTGCACTCTAGAGCCCTCAAGCCACAACTACTGAGCCTGTGTGTCACAACTACTGAAGCCCGTGCACTTAGAGCCCGTGCACCTAGAGCCTGTGCTCCACAACGAGAAGCCACTGCAATGAGAAGCCCATACATTGCAGCAAAGAGTAGGCCCCGCTCGCCGCAGCTAGAGAAAGTCCACACACAGTAACGAGGACCCAACGCAGACAAAAATAAATAAATTTTTTTAAAAATTAAAAAAATAAGAAATGTGATGCTAAACAAGCAGACATTTCAACTTTCTGGGGTTTAGTGTTATGTGTAAAACGGAAAAGTACTAGGTATGGTTGGAATAGATTTCATATTTCTGCATTTTATTCTCAAGGTAATGAGAAGCCATTAAGATCTTTCAACCAGGGAATGGCATGATCATCTTCCTGCTTTCAGAAGAGTCTAAAATTAAAAGGAGGAGCAGAAAGGAAAACTATTTGGGAAGTCTGGAAATAAAATCACAAGGTCCAGAAGTACAGGAGCTAAAATGCATAGACATGATGATAGGTTGAGAAGTGAGTAGGGGAAAAAAGTGTACAATCAATTATCGTCTGTTCCTTAGGGAATTTTTTTTTTTTTTTTTTTTTTTTTTTTTTTTGCGTTACGCAGGCCTCTCACTGTTGTGGCCTCTCCCGTTGTGGAGCACAGGCTCCAGACGTGCAGGCTCAGCGGCCATGGCTCACAGGCCCAGCCGCTCCGCGGCATGTGGGATCTTCCCGGACCAGAGCACGAACCCGTCGCCCCTGCATCGGCAGGCGGACTCTCAACCACTGCGCCACCAGGGAAGCCCAGGGAATTTTAAAAGTGAAGAAGAAAAAATAAGATGATCAAATTTATATCTGAAGGTTAGCCATCTTTCCTGAGAATAAACGTTAAGAGCCAACTGCTTACTACACGTTACTATCTAGTGTCCTATAGGTAAACTCAAATTCATGAAGTTGACACACACCCATGATATCTTCCTCCTGAATCCCCTACTAAACACCTTGCCATCCAGATAAAATAACTGGTTGCTATCCTACACTCCTCACTCTCCTCCAGTTTTCTAAATCTACTTGCTCACTAGGTCATTTCTGAGTTAAAAAAATAACACTACCTACTGTAAAAATTTAAACAGTAGTGAAATATACAGAGTAAAATGGGAAGAGAAACACAGAGAATTGGACCTGACATTTTATGCCAGTTGATTTCCTCCAGGCATTTATTTGCTGAGTCTCAAACTGGCAGGGCAAAAGGCCAAGAAATCTAACCAAAGGACACTGGAAGGTTAAGTGGAACTCAGCAGACTCACTTTGATAGTGGATAAAAATTGGGAATACAAGACATGCCAAGTAGGAGGTGTTCTTATAAACACCCCACAATTTCAGGATAAACATTAAAAGGCTATATATACCCTCAGAATAAGAATGAAATATGTGTGAACCAAGTCTAAAAAAAGTCTGAAATGCAATCTCAAGTCAGGTCAGCCTTTTAGTGAATTAAGTTATCTACTCCTAATCTAGCTGCCAACGAGAAGAGAAGAGGGTGAATCCTGTCTGGAGAATGACAACCTCATCCAGAGACTATAACTTTTCATGCACAATGTCCAGTGTTCAAATCAAAAACTACCAGAATCATTAGAGTCATAGACATTAATATACATTTACACACCCACACAGATGGATAGACCAGAAACAGTTATAGAATGTGTGTATACATGGATTAGTAAACATATATATATATATACATATATATATATATATATATATATATCACATATACATACATATATAACATAGCTCTGTTCTCTGAGAGGACCCAGGGCAATGATACTCCAGTATCAATAGGCATACCTAGATCATGGTTTGTAGATAGCATTCTACAAATTAAAGGAACCAGTGCTCCTTTGAGAAATGGCTGATTCTAGGGCTAGGGCAGGGAAAATACAAGATGAGCCAGGAGCATGTTATAGCATCAGAAAGTAAGCAAGAACTCAAGAAACAAAACACTGGGAGCAGGTCAAAGGAACATAGGAGCCAACGTGAAAGTATTCCCAAGGCCAAATAAATATACATGGGTCCATACTGATATAAATAAATATGGCAGAAGAGACAAATCTTCCTTATGGAAGAATTTCAAATAATATATGTAGATTTTCCCCCCTCAGGATGTGGAGTTTAATCCCCACCTCCCACTCCTAGAAGAGGCTGGACCTGTTGACTTGCTTCCAAGGAATAGAGTATGGGAAGGGAAAAATAGTAACCACAGTGGAGAAACCTGGCAAAAACTACTTTAACCTAAGTTTTCTTAACCTCAGTACTATTGACATTTGGGACCAGATAATTCTTTGTTGGGGATGGGGGCTATTTTTTCTGCTTATAGGATTTTAAGTATCATTCCTGGCCTTTCTCCACTAAATACCAGTAGCAATCCTCCCCCTGCCCCACCAGTTACAACAACCAAAAATGGACATTGCTAAATGTCCCCTGAGGGCAAAAATTACACCTGCCAGAGAAGCACTGCTTAAAGTTTAACAGCACCAGTGATGTGTGGATATCATGAACCACTTGGTATGATGTAATAAGGTCACTTCAGCTCTGTATATTCTTTCCAAAAACCTATAATCTCAAAATAACTAAAGTCAGAAATGAAAGAGGGCACATTATTGTGAATATTATAGAAATAAAAAGGATTATAAGAGAGCACTAGGAACAGTTGTACACCAACAAATTGGATAAACTGGACAAATTCCTAGAATCATGCAACCTACCAAGTGAATCATCAAAAAATAGGAAACCTGAATAGAACTATAGCTAGTAAGGAGATTCCCAACAAAGAAAAGCCCAGGACCAGATGGCTCCGCTAGTGAATTCTACCAAACATTTAAAGAAGAAACACCAATCCTTCTCAAACTCCTTCAAAAAATTAAAGAGGAGGGAATGTTTTCAAACTCATTTGATGAGGCCAGAATTAACCTGACACCAAAGCCAGACAAAGACACTACAAGAAAAGAAATCTACACACCAGTATCTCCTATAAATATTGATGCAAAAACCCTCAGCAAAATATTACCAAACAGGGCTTCCCTGGTGGCGCAGTGGTTGAGAGTCCGCCTGCCGATGCAGGGGACACGGGTTCGCGCCCCGGTCCAGGAAGATCCTACATGCTGCGGAGCGGCTGGGCCTGTGAGCCATGGGCGCTGAGCCTGCGCATCCGGAGCCTGTGCTCCGCAACGGGAGAGGCCACGGCAGTGAGAGGCCCGCGTACCGCAAAAAAAAAAAAAAAAAAAAAAAAAAAAATTACCAAACAGAATTCAACAACATATTAACAGGATTATACACCATGACCAAGTGGGATTTATTTCTGAAATTCAAGGATGGGTCAATCAACGTAATACATCATATTAACAGAGTAAAGGATAAAAACCACATGATCATCCCAATTGGTGCAGAAAAAAATTTTTTTTGACAAAATTCAACACCTTTTCATGATTAAAAAGTTAAAAACACACTCAACAATCCAGGAATAGTACTTCAACATAGTAAAGGAAAGTACCTCAACATAATAAAGTCCATATAAATAAAACTCACAGTTAACATCTACTCAGAGGTGAAATACTGAAAACTTTTCCTCACAAGAATGCCTGCTTTTGCCACTTTAACGTAGTACTGGAATTCCTAGCCAGAGCAACTGGCAAGAAAAATAAATAAAAGGCCTTGAAATTGGAAAACAGGAAGTAAAATTATCTCTCTTTGTAGATAACATGATCTTATATGCAGAAAATCCTTAAAATTACACACACACACACACACACACAACTTGTTAGAACTAATAAATCAATTCAGAAAAGTTGTAGGATACAAAATCAATAGGCAGAAATCAGTTGTGTTTTAATACACTAACAATAAACAACCTGAAAAATAAATTAAGAAAGCAATTCCATTTAAAATAGCATCAAAAATAATAAAATACTTAAGAATAAATTTAACCAAGGCAACAACACTAGAAACTACAAAACATTCTGGAAGAAATTAGACACCAATAAGTGAAAAGATATCCCATGTTTAATACTACCCAAAGAAATCTACAGATTCAGTGAAATCCCTATCAAAACCCCCACAATTTTTTTCAGAAACAGAAAAATCCA